CCACTGTTCTTCTCCAGAGTGAGGGCTTCAGCGTCTGCTAAAAGGTCTGTACCTGGAAGCATTAGGTCTTAGGCACCTGCACTGAATTTTACAATTTTACTTTGGCATAAATCTGCATGAGATGAGGAGCCGGCGTACCAGACACTGGCTTTGTCTAGCAAAAGACTGTGAGTAATGAGAGCATTTCTACAGGGCTAGTGGCCAGGCAATGAGGCAGGCCCTCAGTAACAAGGGACGAGCAGAGCATAGGATATACATCCAACACGTTTGCAAAGGAGAAATCAGTTTCAGTTTTTAAAAGGGCACCCCTCTGCAACATTTGTAAAGATGGGCTAGAGAGAATGAATCGGTGAACAAAATCCAAGCGAAAAAGATTGAGTTTAGGGCCATGACTGGCTTAGAACACTGAGAAAAGGATAGACATTGGACACATTTTCTAAAGTTGAAAGAACTGGATTGGGCGAAGGAGTGGGTGTGGCGGGGAGATGAAGGGATGCTCCAGTCAGCAAGGTAACTAAGTGGTGGGGAAGGGGGAGTGATCAAGGTTAGTGCAGGGGCTCAGCCTTGTAGAGGGAAAGTCGGATCCATTGGGATAAGAGGAAGCTGCAGATTCCAGCACTTGGTGATTCCTGAAGCCTTGGAGGCATGTTAGGCCTCCCTCTCCTCTCTCCTCCACTAACAGGTCCTTGTCTCCTGCTAGCTCAGCCCAATAACTCATGCTGCGGACTGGAGAGGCATTTGTATTGCCAGATTCTTCTAGCTAAATGTGTACCATGTGTCCCGCTAACCTTTACAACAGCGGGAAAATGTCTTGTAATTAACCAGAATATAAAGGATGAATGGAGCAGCCTGGCAGTCTCCCGTAGTCATTATCATTCGGAAGAAATGGATGTACCTAGTAAGATTTCCATCAACCAGTTAAAGCCAGGATTCTTCTCTCGGGAGACCTGACTTTGTTCACATACAGTACAAAAGGCATGTATAAGCGCGAATTATGTTTCGTGAGTATTTGTAGGCATGTATACACAAGTACACAAATGTGTTCTTGTGAGTGTGCTTGTTGTAGACACGAATGTGCACGTGTGCGTGGATATATGTACGCGCATATGTGCATCGAGGGTGTGCTTTCGACCGTAGCCGGAACCGTGGGGCCAGACCCAGGCTGTGCTTTATCTCCACGTCATCGGTGGTTAAAGCGTCCTCTTCAGAGATCAGTGCTTCAGTGTAATACTGTTGGAACTAACCTAGCGGGGGCTCCACAGATGAATGAATGTACAAACAACATGAACAAATACATCTCTGAAATCCGCTAGGTCCTTGCCATTTTGCCCTCCATTCCCATTGGGTCTATCGGTAGCGCACTGTGGAGACAGCGGGAGACACACCCTTGTTCTCTCAGCCTTCACACCCAGTCTGCCCTGGTCTGTAGAGCTGGTTCTTGAATGGGCTCCTGTGGCGGCTGGTTTCCTGTGGTGCTCCGCATTCCATCATCGCTCACCACCTCCTTGGTCAGACTGTTTAAAGGACAAATCAGCTATATGTAATTCAGGGTGTGACCGCTTCCCTGGGTTGCTCAGACACTGAGGCCCCAGCACGTGGAGGTGGTTTCTTGATGCTAACGTCCCTGGTTACGTGCACCTTGCCAAGAGCTTCCGTCCCAGCCCAGGATGCTCTCCTGACCCGTCCATCAGCTCCAGCAGTGGTGTGGGCCCACCGCGGACTCCGCCTCCCCAGAGCCTGGGCCTGCGCCCGCTGGACGTACAGCTCTTAGAGACTGTGCTGCTGGTGTGAGAAACTTCTGCCCACAGAGCTATGCCCTGCTTTACCAGACTAATGTGTAGTGCCCACACGCAACACAGCAACACAACCACTCGGACCCAGCTCAGAGGAGTAAATGGTCACAAAGTTTATATGGCATTAAGGAGCCCCCAGTAGCTTCTCAGGCCCCTTCTAGTTCAGTTCTTCTCATTACCTCCACAAATATTGTCCTAAGGTGACTAGCAGGAAGAAAAGGAAGAAGGACAGAGGCTAGTTCCTGCTTGAGGGATGTGATGATGTCATCCACTACTAAAAATGGCCCAAGGAACATTAAGTACTGATCTGTCAGCTTAACCAGCCCCTCCTGGGGAGGACGAGTAGACAGGATGGACACAGAAATTGGAAGGATTCCTTCTGGGGCACTGAGAAGGGTGGGTAGCTGGAGCCTCTTCCCTAACACAACCTCGAGAAGAGAGGAAGAAGGGCTCCCTCTTAGCCACTCTGCCATGTCCACCTACATCTCACAGTCTCCCTTCACCAGCCACAAGGAAACCCCAAGCAGCATTTGTCCCTAACGATGGCATCCCTGGTGCACTGACCCGCATCCCCATGCCCTTCCTCCAGTGGACACTACACCCTGAAACAAGGCGATTGGGAAGACTGATTCCCTTCCTCCTTCTTGGTCAGGTGCCCTGAGCCATCACCACAGACCTGACCTCGAATGGGCCACACTGGGTCATAGAGACCTCTTTCCCCACCCCTACCCCAGAGCGGGGGCATCAGGAAGGATACCTCAAACTGTTCTCACGGTGCTGGGACCACCCCTAGTTTCTTAGAGATGATTAAATCAGAGGAGTGTTTTTTTTCCTGCTGCACTGTGTTAGCTAGGCTTGAATAATGCATGTTCCCCTGCTAACACCCTCTGTTTAATAACGGGTCCGTGTTGGTGTTCATTGGAAATTTTCCTGCTGGATACACATGGAGAGTAATGCGCGTTTATAAAAAGGGTTTGGATGCACGTTGGGAAGCAGTGACTCTGTGGTAGTAACTGAATTCTGTCAGGCACTCAGCTTAGACAGCAGCCTGGCAGGGGACAAATCCATGGGGAGCTTTTTGATGTAGATGGTGGCGGGGGCAGCTGGGAGATGGCCCCCTTGCGTGCCTGGTGGGCTTTCGTTTCGGGACTGGCATGGTACTTCAAGTGCAGAGCGAGTACCTGAGTTTTCAGGGTCTGAGTTAAAGAAGGATAACAGTGTCCCTGGGAATGCTTTGGGGGCAGGTCACAAAAGAAGACACTGAGGTTCAGCCAAAAGAACAGCTGCTTCCTGGCTCTGTGACCTACTGCAAATCATTTAAAACCATTTCGAAAAAAAACATTAAAAAATAAAACCATTTCGAACCCCATTTTTATTATCTATTGAATAGGTATAATAACTACTGGTCAAGGTTGTTGTGCGTATAAGGACCAAATGGAATGACTGTTGAGGGCCTACTGTATAGCAGGTGCTATTCTAGGCATCAAGGATACAGCAGTGAACAGAACAGACAAAAGTCCCTGCCTTCATGGAGCTTAACATTGCCGTGCGGAGTGACAAAAACCACTCAGTAAATGGTAGGGTATGTTAGAAAGTTAGGGAGATAAAGTTAGGCAGATATAGTAGGGGAGCTGGGGTTGGAGATACAGTTTTAAATAGAGTGGCCAGAGAAGGCCTCCATGAGGAAATGGTGTTTGCACAAGTGTTTCAAGGGAAAAAAGGAACAAGTCATGAAGATTGCTGGGGGAAAGCATTCTAGGGAACTGGTAGCCTGAAGCAGGAACATGCCTGGCATTATAGGAACATCAGGGAGGGCTGTGTGGCTGGAAGACAGTGTTTGGGGTCCTGGGAAGGCAGGCTAGTCTGTGCAGGCCATTGTAAAGACTGCGGCTTTTGCTCTAGGAGAGATGGGTTGCCACTGAAAAGTTTCGAGCAGAGACGTAATTTGGTCTGACTTGTGTTTTGAAAAGATCCCTCTGGCTCTTGTGTTGAGAACAGACTATAACAGGAGCAAGGAGGGACGATGGGAGGCAGTGGCCACATGGAGGAGAAGTAGCGGAGAGTTGAACCAGGCTGATAGACACGGAAATTCCATTCGGCTATGTTTGGAAGGATTTGCTGATGCAGCGTGTGTGCGTGCAAGGAAAGGAGTCAAGGATGGTGATATAAATAAAGAACTTGTAAGGCACTTAAGCTCAGGCCCAGGGCCTGGCACACTAGAAGTGCCTGGTCGAGTGGTTGCTACCTCTGCTAGGTATAAGTCTGAGCAGGGCTGAGTTACCCAGCAGGGGCCAGCTAGGACATGGCACAGGGGTCTGGGATTGGACAGAGATACCAAGCCACATAACAAGAGACAGGATGAAGCCCTTGGAGGCCAGCAGAGAGCCTTAGGGAACTGAGGTGGTCAGACAGGAGGAGGTTGATGGATGCGGGGGAATGGTGTTTGCAGTTGAAAAGTTCTGGCTCTGGTGGTGCCTTTGTTGTGCTATTTGGCAAAGTCCTGATAAGCTGTAGACTGGACTTAGCGATGGGATTAAAACCCAGTTCAGTTCATCTGGCCACCACCTGAACCAGGCACTGTCCCCCAGAGCCCTGCAGGACTCAGCTGCTACCCACAACAGGTCATCTGGTGTAGGCTAGGCTGATTGGCTCCACAGGTTTTTCATCCTCCTGGGGCCAGCCATAGCTTCTCCCAGTGATGGGAGAGATGCAGGAGGGAGAGTCTAGTCTGACAGGTACTTTTCAAGCTTTTGGGCCATATCAAGGCCTCCAGAATTCTAAAGCCCAAACCTTAAGTCAAAGGGTGAGGATAAAATATACTCCTTCTCTTTAATGGGAAGAAAAGTACAAAGTCACATTGCGAAGGGTAGGGATACAGGAAGAGTGACAATCTTGGGGGGCCGTAATCCAATCTAACGTACCTATTCATGGCTGGTTCAGAGATTGGGTGGAAACGCAGGGCTTCATGGGTGGACAGGAGATCACGCTGTCTGCCTCGCCCAGAGGACCAGCCTTCATAGCAGCTTTCTCCGTGTCTGAGAACCTGCTGCGCTTGAGCGCTAACCTTGGTATATCCTGGCCCAGACGGGCTTCTGGCTTTGACCTACCACGTAGTGTCCTAAGCCAAGAAAGAGACTATTCGAGAGAGACCCCATCCCCCATCACAGACAATAACTTAACCCATTTTCCCTCTTGCTTCCTCTCTAGTCAAGAAGCAAATCGAGTTGAAGTCTCGAGGCGTGAAGCTGATGCCCAGCAAAGATAACAGCCAGAAGACATCTGTGTGTAAGTGTCCACCCGCCTGCCGGGCCTCTCGCTCGAGGTCAGACCTGCCGGTGCTGTGACCGTGGGGTCAGGGGTGGGGGGCATATGATGCTTGAATGATTTCCCTTCAATATCGCTTCCCTCCATCCCGGGCTCTGCGCATATGCACACTGACCTAGTGGCCAGTGAGCAGTCCCAGGGTCTGTTCTTGGCCTTCTCCTCCTCCCCCTCTGCCCACTTCCCTCTTTTCTCCTCTTTATCCCTCACTTCTCATTCTAACTGCAGTCCAGGGAGTCATTACTGCTCCATTTCTCTCTTTATTTTTCCTTTTGAATCACTTCCACCTGCTAAGACAGTCATTTTTCCGGCTCCTCGTCTAGGAGTCAGTAACCTCCAGCTGGAATCGTGGAGGCTGCAGGGTCCTAATTCCATTGGGAAGGGGAGAGAGAGAGGTACCGAGTAACCACCAGGGTCCCTCGACCCGTCTGGCCAAAGAGTGGGCCAGAGGAAAGGGGCGCTGCCTCTCGAGCCAGTGGGGCGGGGCAGTGCTGGGCTCTCTGCTTGGGCACGGGGAGGATTATGTCTATGAGAACATGTTTCTGCTATTAGTGTCTGAAAGCTTAAAAAGGGGACATCCAATGCTGGGGAACAGCTGGAAGGTCACTCCGGAAACACCTGATTGGAGCCTGTACGAAGGGGCTTTGGGGCTAGAGCACAGGAAGGGCCGCTCAGGAAGGTTCTGGGCCACTCTGAAAGCAGAGGAGACGTTTCCGAGAATCCTTCTGTTTTCGTTCTGGAGGTACGTGCGGGGAGCCTTCCTCGGTCCCCGAATGACCGGCCTTCTGACTTACCGTCTCCGCTACTTCCTTCCTTCGCCTCCCGCATTTCACATCCTGCGGTCTCTCCGTCCACTTTCCCCAGCCTCCTTCCTCCTCACCCTCTCTGCTTTGCCCTCTCCCTCTGTTTCTCTCCTCCCTCCTGACCCTCTCTTTCCATCTCACCTCCACGTGCTCACTTCTTTTGAGATGCTAGAAATACTTCCTGAGAGAGACAGTGAGCCTCACGTGGTATCGCACATGTTTGCAGAGCTCGGCGCCGAGTGCAGCAGGAAGCTGGGTGGGGGGAGAGGCCATTTGGTCCTGAGCCTCAACAGAACTAAGCCTGAGTGTGGGATTTTCTCTGGTCTTTTTAGTCATCAAATCGAGATGGGACACCACTCCCTGACTCTGGGGTCCGTTGTCTCTGGTCACTGCAGCCTGAGGGAGCCGGATGGCAGAGGACAGCCAGGAGGCCTCGCATATGTGCTTGGCGAAGGGGACCAGGGGAAGAGGCAGGGAGCAAGGAGAGCTCAGAGTTAGGCCAGGAGTCTGCAGAGAAGGCACGAACTGTGGCCCTGGCCCTCTTTCTTTCTGTAGCCACAGAAGAACTAAGACAGGCACAATTTAATTTCCGAGTTTACCCTGGAGCCACTGGCAAACTTTAAGGAAATGGCCCAGATTTGGGAGAGCAAGTTGTTATCCCATTGTGTTTTCAGGTAACCATGTCACCCCAGGTACTAACGTCTCAGTTTTCACATCTGTTTAATGGGGATGCGAAACCTTACTTTCCCTTCCTCCCAAGGATACCATTGAACCTAAGCTGGGCCTTCTCGACCTAGGACTTCAGGAAGTCCATGAACTTGGTAAAAATTACATGTGATGTTGTGGGTGCATTTTGTGGGCGAGAGGGTCCATGGTTTTCATTAGCTACTCAGAAGTGCCCAGAACTCCCTCAAAAGGGTGAAGAAACCTTATTCTAATGAAACGATGGAAAAATTCTTTTAAAAAATATATATCTCTTTATAACAAGGTATTGGTCTCTGTTATGAGATTTCTTAACAAGGGATGGGTATGTGACTTAAGCCGCCTCAGAGACAGGTAACCAAATGTCTGCAGGTGTCTGGCCCTTTGTGTTCTGCCCAAATTGCCTGTGGACCGATGCTCTGAATTTCTGGGGAGGAGTGGCCCACACTTACATAAACTGGACCCTGCTTGCTGCCTTCACCTGTTGATCTATGGGTACCATGGACCGCCAGCCGTCAGCTCTGACCATCCACGTGTCTGTGCCTCCCTCCACTTTGGGTTGAAGGAATTGCCTTTCTGAGCATTTTGCGGCTTCTTCTTCACCAAGGGGTGGGGATAAGGTTCACCTTCCCTTCTTTTCCTTCCCTCTGTAGCCAACAGCAAATTAATGCTACAAACATAAGCAACTGGTTTCGATTAGGCAGGGGAGGTTGGAATGAAAGAGAGGCGGAAAGCCTCTTGTCTCTGTAACTCAGGCAGTAAACTGCTTCCTAGTACTTAAGTTTGCTTGTTTCCTGGAAAGCCTGAAAGTCACATGGGGCTGCTGTCACCTGGTCAGTCCTCCCAGAAAGACTGGGTACCAGTGGGGTGTGAGCAGCTTATTGCTGAGCTTATAACTTCCTGGATGGCGCCTGAGGCTGACTTCAGGCTGGCCGATTAAAGGGGAGGCAGTGGGTTTGCTCTGTACGTCGGGGGTCTGTGGTTCAGTGGGTGGATTGTGCCATGATCTCCCCCTTCTCGTCCAGCTGCATCCTCATTCTTCAGCCTTCTGCTCTGTCTGCTTACTGGGCGGTGTCGGTACTGAATGAGAGGGCAAGAAAAGGGGGCAGGACCTTGCTCTCCACTGTTAACATACTACCAGGCGGCTGTGTGGTTCCCATGCGGTGGTTGGGCAGGGACTTTGGGGTGGGTGTGGTCGGTGGGCAGGGTCGAGTAGGCAGAGCCTAAAGAAAAGAAGGTGGGAGCTTAGCTGAGAAGTCCTCGGTAGGGATGGATCACCATGAGGCTGGCTTACCAACAGAATAACCACAAGTACAACTCAGGACTGACCTCATTTTCTTAGAACAGAGGCTCCTCTCTCCTTCCCATCCCCCTGGGCATCTGGGGACCCCAGTTATCTCCTTACTTCCCATCGTTTGCAAAACACTGAGGCTTTGGGAGGCAGGAGCTTGCTCTGCTTTGGACAGGGCATTTCCATCTTGTCATCCTGGCCTAGAGAGTCCTGGACTGGTGGGGGTGGTGACGTTGCTAGGTTTAGAATGTGAAAGCTTTGGAGGTAGAGACTTGGCAAGGAAGGGGGTGGAAGTAGGGGACAAGCGTCTGGTGGGAGTGGCTGGATTTAACCTGGCAGTGTGGAATGTTGGAGAAAGGGAGACTCCCCACGAGGCCTGGGCTCATTGCCACACAACCAAGAGGACACCAGGTGTCTGGCTTGAGCGTGCAGAATGTCCAAATCCTCAGATTCCCTTGGCCAGCCACACCCTGGGATACCTAGAGGTTTGAACAGAGTCTACACCAGTCTTCTAACTGCAGAAATGAGCTTCAGACTCAGTGAGTCTGAAATAGGACTCCTCACAGGTCCCTAGGCCAGGAAATCCCCTGCTCCCACACCCACACCCTAGTCGTCCATGAGCCCTGGTGATTTTGTCTTTGCTGCTACCTCATGTCAGTCCCCACTCCCAGGCTCTTATTGTCTCTTACCTGGACAATCACAAAACTTCCTAACTCATCTTGCAGTAACTGGCCTCCCAGTGAGCAGTCCAGATCCTCCATGCCCTTCCCCAGCTCAGGACTCTGCAGTGGCTCCCCATCGTTTTCAGGATCAGACTCCAACCCCGTAAAAGTCTGACCTCTGAAACCTCGCCTTCTGCTCTTCCATGTCACTCATCACTCTCCCTCCTACTCTGGTCACACTGGGCAACCCCAGGTCTTTTTCCATGTTTCCACGTCACTCCCAGTGCCTGTCTGTTTGCCTGAACTGCCATTTCTCTGCCACCATATGCATCTAGATCCTACTCTCTCAGAAGGTCCGTGTTGAATGCCACCTCCTCCAGGCAGCCTTTCACGCTTCTCTCGGCAATATGAGATGGGTCTTCCTTCTGAATCTCCCTGTAGCTGCATCCTTCATCACTTCCCCCTGTGGTTTCAGTTCGTTTCCCTATTTCATGTCTTCACTCAACTGGGAGCTCCTTGAAGACAGAAGTCATATCTGACATCTGACATTGGCATCTCCCACGGTATCTAAAATAGGGTCATGTACACAGTAGGTGCTCAATTGATGCTCGTTGTGTGCTCATGTATGGGAATGTGTGAGTGGGTGAGTGAGTGATGGAACATGTTACTCATATTGTGGGACTTTGAGTGGGCGGGGCGGAAAGGGGCCAACTCAGGGAATGTTGCTCTAGACGCCCTGTCATCCTTCGTCTCGAGGGTGCTGTTGGGATCTTGGGACTGCTGAGGCCTTGGACGGTACGCTTCTGGGTAGGCTACCTGCCTGGCCCCAGCTCCTGGTCATCCGCACAGCCAGGAATCCAGAGGCGTGAGGGGGTTCCAGCCTCATGAGTGTGAACATCTCTCGAGAACAATGAACCAGCAGGGACCAGAAGGTTTTCACCACCACCCCACCCCACTGGAGACAGGAGAAAATGAACATTGTGTGTGCGCGCTGCCCCCTTACCAAGCCCCTCCTTTAGCCAAGATGGCTGTGCACATGGTTTTTGTAAATAGGAGTCTGGTGTTGGCAAGTGTGAGAGTATCGCACCACCTGCCAGAACGACCACGGGTGCCATCTCTGCTTGGTACCCTTGGCCGGAGTCACTGGCGGTGGGGTTAGAGGTGCTTGGGTTACTACCCACTCTGGCTTGAGAAGTGTCTGATGGGAAGAGGTTTCTCAGCAGAAATAGCCATGTTCGATCTAAGTCCCTGCTTTGACCTTCACACTACAGATTTCTCTTACATTCTTTACCGTTTCTGATCACACATCCACTTTTATTTAACTTTCTTTGAGTCATATCTCCATTTGGGGGTGAGGTTGGGGGCGCTCATCTCATCTAGAGTCGCCACCCCCAGATCCGAAACTCAGGGTGGGGAGTTCACTGGGTGCTGTACGCTGTTGACCTCTGGTCGCTGGTGTGGGGTGAGGGAACAGAGCGGTTGTTGGTTTGGGGTGCCTGCCTCTGAGCCCACATGCTCTTGATGAATTTCACTTGGACTTGGCCCACAAAAGGGATTTGTCAAAAGCAACTCCCCACCTTGCACACTCAGGAAACCCAAACCCAACGGACCACAGCAACCCCACACGTCCCCACCAGAGAGCAGGGCCTAATTCAGTCCCTGCATCCACCTCCCACCCCAAGACGCTGCCTGGGCTGGGGCCTTCCTGTGATTATCCATCTCTGTATGTGCTGTTTTTTGCCTTGTAGTAACTCAGGTTGGTGTGTCCCAAGGGCATAATATGTGTCCAGACCCTGGCATACCTGAAAGGGGCAAAAGACTAGGCTCGGATTTCAGGTAAGATCTGTTCGGGAACTTTCTGATGGCAAGAAGGGTGGGGTAGACTGTTGGGGCGAAGACAGGGCTTGGCCCTCCTGGAGGTAGAATGAAGAGGATGGTGCTGGTACAGGAACAGACACTTTCTAGAAAAGAGCCATGGCCTTTGACATTCTTTCCCAGTCCAGTCCTGGGAATGGTGCCCATGCCAGAGTGGGCTATAGACTGCCAGCGTTACTCAGCAAACTTATACTCAGGGTACAGAGGACTGCTGTCATCAGTGATGACGTGCCAGCAGGCAGCTCATGCCTCCAACAATCTAGGAGACCCTAGGGTCCCAAGATGGTGCATTTTGCAGTTTTAATTATCAAGGCATCTCTCCAAAATCCTCCATTTTTAGTAAAGTTTATGTGTGTCCTCCACCCACCCTTAGCTGTCCTAATTGATACTTATCTCAGAGGATCACTGTTTTGCTCACAAAGTTACCTTTTAACTCCATCCTAAAACCATTCAGTGGTCAAAAAAAAAAATGAAGAAGCAGAAGTTCCTTCCAATGGAGATTTTAAGTGATAAAATAGAGTAGAGATTAAGGGCCAGAGAAGAAGTAAGGTTGGTGTGGTACTTCTCTGTGGAACCAGGAAGGGTGCGGGGCAGGCTGGGAAGACCCAGAGATCGAGCTCATAACACACCTTGTCTCCCAGGTTAGGATCCAGCGTCCAGTTCACCTGCAACGAGGGCTATGACTTGCAAGGGTCCAAGCGGATCACCTGTATGAAAGTGAGCGACATGTTTGCGGCCTGGAGCGACCACAGGCCTGTCTGCCGAGGTGAGGGTGCCCCGGGTAAGGGAAGCTGCCCAGAAAGCTGGGCTGGGCATGGAGGACAGAGCCTAGCTCCCCAGACTGGTTCGCCCCACTCTCACGGCTCCCCAGGCCACAGATTCTGCATTCATTTACTAATTAACTTACATTTATTTAGCACCTTATGTATATCAAGATCTATACTAGGATGAGGTGATCCAGGGGTGGGGAAGAGAGACATAGCCCCTGCCCTGCATGGACCTTACAGGCTAATCGGGGAGCCACATAGGAAGCAGGTTGCTAACTCATTGCACAGATGTCACAACGACACCTAGACAGGAGGGGAATTCACCCTTATTATGTCACCTTTAATCCCTCCACTGTAACACATACACATCCAAACTCTGAATCTCAGTGCCCTGGTTTCTTTCCACATACTCAACAATAAGATCCGCACTTCTGAAGATGCTCTCAGCTAAGCAGAATACGTGGGCCATGGTCTCAAAGGCTCCTCGGCCCTAACCCCACATGTGGGCATCTTGTTCTCCAGGGCCATGCCACCCACATCCCCAGATACAATCACATGGACCAAGGCTGAGCTGGTTGAGCCCCCATCCCCCAGATAATCCTTAAGTAGCAGACATGAGTGTACTTCATCGTTAGGACAGGACAGCAGCTGCTTCTGTGGTAGAGAAGGCCCTGGCTTCACCCGCCTGGCACCATGAGACGACTTGTAATTTCTTACACTCTGTGTGTATCTCTTATCTTCCATTGTTTGTACACATAACCAGGGTTCAGTTCTTGGTGCAAGAGTAAACGCTTGTCTGGAGTCTGTAAACAAAGCCTGCAGTTGCTCACTATAAAATTACATTCTGGATCCCTCCAGTTTAAGAAGGAGATTCTTTGACCCTCTCCAGGCACATGTACCACAATGAAATTCATGCAGATAAGGAGTCCAGGAAAAAACCCTGATCATGACTACACTGAGGAAGGAACAAGGTTGGAGCTGAGACCCACTTCCTTTTTTTAATGTATTGATAAATTATCTGGAAGAGGATCATGAACATACCTTTCACATCTTTCAAATAAGCCTTAGATTTATTCATTCCCACTCAACTTTGAAGTGGCCATGATCTACATTTAATAATGTAGTTTGAGTTCCCACTAATTTAAGCTATATTATGTCAAAGATTCCACTTAGCTAGTATTTTCCAAAACTCAAACAAAAGAAGAATTCTTGGGTCTAACTCTCTATCAGCTTTGCCACCACCTGACCATGGGCAATTTGGCAAATCACTGATTTTCCCTGGGCTTATTTTCTTATCTGTAAAGGGAGATAATGGCACCTACCTATCCATCTTGTGTTACTTTGAAGGTCAAATGGAGTCGTGTATTTGGAAACACTTTTTCAATTTGGGAGTGTTCGGCAAAACAAATATCCTAGTGCTGGAATATAAACTCTATCGTGCAAGGCCTTCTGTTCTGCCCATTGCCTGGAACAGGGCCTGGCACATAGTAGGCATTCAGTAACGTGTTGAATGGACGACTGCACGAATGAATAACTGAATAGCACACCACTCTGATTCCAGGGAGCCAGATGCCAGCTGTGTATAGACGCATAAAATTATCAAATCTGGAGACCAAAGGACCCTGTGCTAATCTGTTATTTTAAAATTCCTTCTAAGGAGCTAGAATAACGAAGCCTTTAGATGGTGGTGAGATCTGATCTCTTTCCATCAGCAGAAGGTTGTCTTCTTAGTAATGGGGTTGTTTCCATGAATATGCCTGGGGGGCGGGGGGCGGAAGTTCACAGTGGAGTGATGTCCTCTTCTTTTTCTCCAGACGTGTTGTATGCCCCATTCAAGTCCCTCCTGTGTTTTTGACCCACTTTCCTCTGAGTTCTCTGCCATCCTGTTAACTAAGCATAAGACTAAGCTTTTTCATATCCATTCTCCTTCCGTCCTCTGCCACTGCGAAGTGGGGAAAAAATCATGGCAAACAGAGCCAGGCAGAATTGGGTTCAAATGCAGCTATCACCACTTTTTAGCTGTCCTTGGGCCAGTTTCTCCACCTCTCTGAATCTCTTTTTTTCTCTGCTAAAAGCCAGTGATTATAGAACATTACTTAATGATATTAACGGCGAGGACTAGGCGAGGTAGCGGACCTGAAAGCACCCTTTTAGAAACATCCCAGTGTGTCTGTGAGGCTTATGTGCACACATGTTTGGTTTAAACTGCTCAGCCCTGTTGCCTTATAGTTTCCCGAAGCCTGGCAGCTCAGCCACAGCCTCCAGTGGCTGTGGTTCTTTTAGAAACCTGTTCCCTCACTGTCTTGCCCTGTCATATTGCAATCACAGTTTGGGAGGCACACAGACTTTGATCTAGATCACAACTCTGCCCCCTGAGAGCTTACTGGCTCTGGGTGGGTCCTTCTTCTTTCTTAGCCTCAGGGCCCTCATTTGTGAACTGGGGAAAACAAAACCTCCTCTGCCTAATGATGCAAAATTTAAATAAACCATGTTATTGCAAGTGACCAGCCCTCACTGTGGTGTAGAGGGGACTCTCAGTCCAGGTTTACCATCCTGCCGCTGTCTCGCTGTCTCTGTCCCTTTTTCTCTCCCATAGGTCATTGTGAGGGAGGCTCCTGGGTCTGGACTTGGTAGATCTGTCCTGGGCTCCCCCGAAGGTCAAAGGCTGAGATAGATATTAGATTCAAGGATTCTTTTATTTTGGCAGTTTTGACAGTTTTTTCTTTTTAAAATCTCTTACTTCGAGTTTAAGCAAACCTCATTTTAAGAATAAAAAGGGACAAAACTCTGAATTCCAGGATGGCTCTGCTAATAAAAAGATTACGGAAAGATCACATTCTAAAAAGAATTCGCCACCATACATAGTGGTATTATTTTACCTCTAATGCATTTAAATTATGATTTGATTTTAAATATTCATTTCCACACAGTTAATTACACTAAAACACGAGGCCTGGCAAATAATAGGTTCTTGACAAATGTTTGAGGACGACCTGAATGAATCGGTGATTGAAATGAATGAACAATATGGCACTGTGCCCTCATTTTGGAATTTGAAATCAGGTATTCACAGGTCTTTCTTTTGTTTCCCTCCCACCCAAAGAAATAAGCTTCTAATTTGACTCCTAGAAAATTCTGATCTTTCCAAGGGGATTCAGGACAACCGAAATACTGTTATAGGAATTCTATTCAGCCCCAAACAGAGGCCGAGTAGTATAATGTAGGGCTCTTCGGACTTATTTTATACATGGAGCTCAATATTTTAAAATAAGCTTTAACAGAAGCCCAATAAATAAAATAGATGCAAGGGGAATATCTCTCACTGAAGTAGGGGCAGGGGGTTTGGAGTGGCCCCCTCCTTACCACTGTTAGAGGCCCCTAAGCCACCTTCCAGGAACTCCTGAGGCTTCGGGGAATCATGTTTGTAAACTCCTAATGGAGTGAAGAGGAAGAAATTGACAACCAGGAGACCTGGTTTCTGGTGACCACAAATTGGTGTTGACAGAGGATAGGGACTGAGTACCAGCCCCAGATGAAGTACTTACAGTTACTGAGCCACAGAGTAGATAATCAACAGAAAGCAATACATTATTGCTTTTCTTTATAGAGAAATCCAGTATTTGTTGTATGAATATATGTGTGTGTTTTTATTTATATATATATTTTATATTTATATTTAT